GGAGTGTTTTTGTTTTCACTTCCCATCATGTCCTAGGAGTGATAGGGTTTCATATAATTGCTATCTTGTCTGAGTTTTATATAGGATCTAGGTATCTTCACTCAGGTCATCACATCCAAACAGGAATCCATTGAACTATTTCCTCATCCTGGTTTTCATTTTTGAAATGTAAATGGTTTGTTTAGTCTTATTTAAAAACTAAAGCCATGCAAGTAATCCTTCATGCATATGGCATGGAGCAACTGAGAGACAACGGACTTTTTTGGGAGTATTAAAAGAACACATATCTATATTAATATCTTAAAATGATATATGTCTAAAAGGGCATGTTGGTCAGTTGTCCATGGACAAAATAGGATTATTACAATGATCTTGAGGTATACAGTAAATGCTTACTCAGAGCTAATTCAATGTAGGGAACAGAAAAAATAAAAGCACACATGGGTATGCAGGATGTAAGTGCTTAAAATTTTGGGACAGAAAGTGACTACAGTCATGTGAAGGAGGAGAATAACTATGTGTATGTAATTTTAGCAGAATGTGTACAAACCTCTTAAAATGGGGATCCTTAGTAACATGGTTCTTTAACATATTGAAATAATTCTGTACCTGGAAATGCCTTCATAATATTTAATTTAAAATGTTTTCACATTCTATCATGCCTTAGGTTTAATAAAGCACATATTGTTTATATTGGAGTGTATTTTTATCATTCTGTTGTCATATAAGTTTATTCATGAGTTCAGAAAGATAGTAGACCACTCCTTTCCGTGATGAATAAAGAAAATTGCCATTCTCCTCAATGTATATGTATTACTTCAAATTTGTGAAGGATTCTTTTTTAAACTTTCTTGCCTTTTGAGTTTTGATATTCACTTGTACTTGACTAAATATTAGGATTAGTTAAAGTTTAAGAGAGGACTTATTAAAATAACTTGCAGTAGACTTTAATGTAGTTGCTAAGTTATAAAGGCAATAAGAATAGATTACCTTAACATTTTATATTTGAAAAAAAAGTATCATTTTTAAAGGTACACTGAACTGGACTTATTAATTCATTGGTTTGTTAAAGGAAGATTTCAAAGTTAATGTACCCACGAATCATTTAAAAAGAGGGCATATTTGGACAAACTTCAAGCACTTTACAGTTGCCTTCTCCAAAATAGATTTAAAGTATGGCTTGGTTAATTCCAAGTTTAACAGGACGTTAATGAGAGGAAATATGACTGGACAAATCGGAAGACCTGATTTAAACTCGAGACAGTTTAAACTTGAGGTGATTGTGTCTGTGCCATGATTCTAGGTCTCAATTTTCTTACTTGTGAAAGTGAATAATCATTATACATGCTTATACTACATAATCTGAATGCTCCAAGAATTGTGGGAACATATCTGAGAGCACATAATAAGGCAGCACTTTCAGTACTTGTGAAAAATCCAAGTAGTAACATCCTTACCAATGAACACTGCGAGGGAAGAAATAGAAGTTTTATTCCAACATACAATCCAAACAAGTAAACTGGTATCTTGTACTTCTATAAATGTACTTCTATTTATGCACTACACATTTATTTGGAAATATAATTAAATTTGTACTCATTGTTTATATGCACAGGTAAATTATAACTAGATCTCACTCTGCTATTGATGGTCACGTCTATTTTATTTCTATGCTTCAAGCATTTTCACTGATCTTATATACAGATAAAATGTAAGTCTAGCTTTATTTTTCAAGCAAAATGAATTTGTCATGTAACTAAACCCAGAACAGTCTGATATCCAGGAAGGTAAGGTCTCATGGCATGGGACAATATCCCTTCTCTTGCATTATTTTCCCCAAATTTAGAACTGTTTTATTTTCTCACATTTATATCTGCCTTTCTCCTACTTCAACTGTGTTTTTCAACTTTTCTGTTGTGAAAGAAAAGAGATGTGAATTTGAACCTAGTTTTTAATGTGCTATTTGTCAACAGATATAGCCCTGCAAGTGACTAAGTTCTTGCTTTTGTCCATCTACACTGTCATCTTGTTGCAGGACACAAGCTTCTTATGTTTTATCTACATTCCTCTAAGTGCAGAATAGTCGTATTACAAATGAGTCATTCATTTTATAACTGAATGAAATTGTTTAATATAAATATTGTTTTTTTACAATATGTTCTATAGATTTATTTTGTTATTATTTTTTATTTTTTGAAATTTCAATATAGTTATATGATTTTACCCTTTCCTCTCTTCAACCCCTCCAAATCCACTCCATCTTGCTCTCTTTCAAAATTAATGTCCTCTTTTTTTACAATTGTTGTTTTATACACACACACACACACACACACACACACACACACACACAAATACATACACACACCCATGCAAATACATGTACACATGCACATATATAGAACTATTCCTAAATATATAAACACAATCTTATTCCTCACTACAGTGCTATTTGTATGTATATGATCTCAAGGCCATGGACTTGGTATTGGATAACCAACTGAGGAAACTCCCATTTCCCCTGTTCTCAAAAGGTGTTTTGGACATAAGACTCAGAGAACCTGTTCTGGAACTGACCTGAAACCACCTACCTCTCCCACAATCCATGGCATAACTTCATGGTACCAAAAGTTGTCATGCAAACTTCCAAAGAAGGGAAGAAACGACCAGTTCTACTCAGCTATGACCCCTATGAACCACAACAATAACCAGCATGACATGATATTCCCCAAGAATACAAGAGTAGCACACACACCCTGGCAGTAATCAACAGAGACTGTATTTTTTAGAAATGTCAGAAAGGCTACATCCATGAACTTTTATTAACATATATATGGTTTTCTTTATTTATCATGTTTCTTTTATAAATAATGACTTACATTTACAGTTGGCTAGGATAATATAGCAGAACTTTTAGAATTATGGTGAAATTAAATAAAGTATGTAATTGACTTGACTCAGTTATATGCAAACCAAAATCTTGGGCTCATCAGTTTTCTGCTACAAATACCTTTTAAGCATATCTTTAAGGTTATGGTAAAAAAAATAGAAACATGAAATTTGCTATATACAAGAGAAGCATGAGCCAAACACTGATTAAATTGTTTAATATCAGAAAGCTATGTCTATATGACCTCAGAGTAAAAGTTTTAGAGTTATGGAAGAACTAATGTAATTTCAACTAGCCACATCTGTATTATGATACAAATAGAAGAAACATCATCATGGGTTCTAAACTAAATTTTATCACATGTATTTCTTCTTGATATCAAGGTACAGGATCAGAGAAATGAACTGGATGTAGCATTAGACAAAGTGAATTGCTTTATTTTAAAAATCAGAATTGTAGCTGGGATGTGTTAACATATTTACCCAATAATGACTATCATTCATAATCTTTTGACCTCAGCCTTAAATCTACATGTAGCTGTTACAAATCCTGTACTGCATTCTGAAAAACAAATATAGCACTCAACCACTTACAAAAAAATTAAAAATGTATTCCAAGAGTGTGTGCATGGAATAAATGTGAACACTGGTGGCCTTTGGATACTCATTATTTATTTGTTCTTTAAGTGAAGAAATATTTTAAGGATGAAACTGATGAGATTCTAACAGTACTGTACTACCATGGAACCAACACATATAGAGGCATAGAATCATTTAACTGCATTGTCTTGCTTTGGTCAATGTCACAGATAACAATCCGCCTTACAAATATTTCAGGATTACCCATCAGGAAAGAATTAAATTCTATGAGATCTCAAGAGGTCTGAAATTTGAAACTTGTTTTTACTAAAGATCAAGCAATTCTTAACTAGACTTTCAATCACACTCTTAAATGGACTGCTGGTGGCAGAGTAATCTGGTTTATCATCTTTTCATTATTAAAACTTTGAGATCAAATACTTTCAAACCTAGTTTTCTTCCTAGTCTCAGGAGTTTGTAATCTATATCCTATGAAATTGGAAATGGAAAAAAAGTCTTTAAAATTATGGCTAAACCAGTTTTATAGTCGCCTGTAGGGGGAACATACACGACTACAACAGCCATTTTTGTGTTCTTATTGTAAGCCAAAAGCTATTCTAAAAACTATGTGAATCAGCTCATTCAAAACTATAGGAACTATGTTGGAGAAGAAGGTGTTGGAAACCATTGAGATGAAATGGCATCATGCACACACAGCTAATTAGTCAGATTCCCAAGCCCATCCATTATCATCAAAATAATAATTGTAATAACACCAAGAGATAAGATATATAGGGTAAGATATATAAGATATATGTAGAGCAAATTCTGTTTCAAGGACTTATTATTTTATTTATTTTTGAAACTTATTCATTCTAACAAAAAACATTGTAGAGAATTCTATTATCTTAGAGGAATGATTAAAATACAGACTGGTTCAGTAAATTGTCCAATGTGACACAGCCAGTAAATGATACCTGGGACACATACCTGTTGCCTAGTTTTACTCTACAAACCTATGAAAAATCTTCTATGTGTAGATTTATAATACAATACTTTTTCTTTTAAGGCAATTTTATACCATACTGTTGACTCTTGTTTCAATTAGAATTGTAAAGGGTACAATGTCAGAATCTAAGCAATAGCACAAATGAATTAATTATCTGCTAGTAATTTACTTCCTCCATTGAGGTTTACCACTGTCTTGCTTTTGGACATTTCTGAAATTGAGTGTAGTAACATAAAATCTTATCAAGAAATAGAAAGCATCTTGCCATTATGAACATCAAATGAACACTCGTTTGAAACAGGATCTCAGTATATAGTTCTGACTAGTCTGGAACTTACTATGTAGACCCAAGCTGGCCAGAAATCTACAGAGATCTACCTGACTATCCAACTTGCAAGAGCTGAATTTAAAAGTATTCATCATCATTCCTGGAAAACTGAGCAACTTTTATTGTTCCTTACAAGCAAGCTTTATGTACATGACAGTTTACTATAAAAAGAAGTGACATTGCTCACAGCATGCCTACCTGCAGAAGCCTCCATCTGGTATTCAGATCTTCCAGAGTGCTGAGGTTATACTGTGAGAGCTGAATGCCCAATGTGGTCAGCTGATGCGCAAGGTCATTGACATGATTGACATTCTCCTTAAGCGGTGCAATTTCTCCCCGAAGTGCCTATGAATGAATTAGAATATAAAAAAATAAAGCAAAGAATATAGTCATGTTGGAACTGTAAGACATCATATGCTGTTTGAGGTGTAATTTTATCATGCTCACTCTTTGATTTGAACATGTTTATATTTCTAAAAGCTAAAAATAATACTATTAGTGCATAAACTATAAGCTCTCTGGCAAGGATATTAGGAGGTACTCCTGTTTGAAAAGCACCTGTTAAAATTAGTGCCTGTGGGTAGTTTGGATGAGAATGGCCCCTATATGCTTATATATTTGAATGCTTGGCCCTCATTTGGTGGAATTGTTTGAGAAAGATTAGAAGGTGTGGGCTTTTGGAAAAGGTGTGTCGCTGGGGGTGGATTTTGAGGTTTTCAATTCAATCATTCCCACTTTGCCCTTTCTGACTCCCTTCTCCTTTTGCTTGTGAATAAGATGTAAACAATAAGCTATTTCTCCTGCACCATGCCTTCCTGATGCCATGCTACTATGATGATCATACACTCACCCTCAGAAACAAAGCTCCAAACAAACCATTTCTCCTATAAGTTCCCTTTGTCATGGTATCTTGTTATAGCAATAGAAAAGTAGCCAAGACTTTGTAAAAGAGACCTTAGAGATCTAGCTAACCCCTTTGATTATGTGAGGAAGTAGCAAGAGGCAGTATCTATGAGGAATAGACATTTATCAGACATAGTTACTAGTCACTTAAACTTGGACTTCATCATCTCCAAAACTGACAGAACTAAATTTCTGTTATGCATAAGTCACTTGATTTATGGTATTTTCTTTTTTAATGGAAGCCTGACTAGGCTAATATACTATGTTCTATTCTTATTTCAGCAGTGTGTGTTTAGTAAGGGATAGATAATTATATTGAACACTTTCTTGGTATATCATGCTGTGACAAGCCTTACTCATCTACAAACTAATTTTTGCCTTACACAACAATCCCATGAAATTGTTACTTGGAGCGTTTTCATTTTATCTTTGAGAAAGAGTAAACTTGCAGATTTTAAATATTGAGTGCTAAAGTTCTATGGGTAAAAATGGTTGTAACCTGTGATACATATTTGTATTTGGCTACTTTTGAGTGCATATTTTTAATTATCACATTACATAACTTGGCTAAAAAATTCTACAATGACAAAGGTACAGAACAAATAAAATGGTGCTATATTTTAAATTCTATATATCAAGCAGAAATGGATTATTATTTTTAAATGAAAAGATCTACTGAATCATAAGAGTGCATTCATACTGTGTAGTCATTACATAATAAATAATTTCACTTAGGGAGGAAGGTATTTTGTCAGCCTAGGTTGACTTTCTGCTCTCATGGTATTTTAGTCCTTGTTGTAGAGGCTTCTGAAGGCTCCCACAGGGATTTCTGGCTGCCTGTGAAGCTGGAAAGCAGGACTCTCTGATGTGATGCATCATGAGGATCTACAGAACAGAACTCTATGTAGCTATGCAGAGGATATTACCATGCATTATAGCTACCCTATCGAGTTGGCATTTATGGATCTTTAACATGATGCATGGTAACCAAATGTTCCAATGAGTGACATCTAAGGGACAAACTCCCTCACTTAGGAGAACAGTTTATGAAATGTAATGTGATGTCTGTGCACAAGGACAGCATCACTTGACTCTCTCTGACTTGCTTGATCTTGGAGGTATTGTTCCCCTGTCTGGTGTTCACTGTTTTGATAAAAGCATTGTTTATCAAAGCCTCATCCATCTCCCTTGCATTTCTTCTGATTCTAAATGAAAAATGGTTTGCACAATCAAAGGAAGGATGACATTATCCTCTTAAATCAACCTGATTACCTGAAAAACTACCATGTGGCATTACAGAGAGTATAAGACTCTTAAATTGTTCTCAGATGAAATTCAGCAGGACAATCACTCTGTTGAATTTTTAGCAGAGAAAATGTAGATTTATTCCGGAAAAATGAAAAAGATCTCCAAAGTGAGGGCCACCAACAGAGGAATAATTTAAACATAAAGGCTTTTTTTTTCTAGACAGGGTGTCTCTGTATAGCCCTGGCTGTCCTGGAACTCACTCTGTAGACCAGGCTGGCCTAGAACTCAGAAATCCGCCTGCCTCTGCCTCCCAAGTGCTGGGATTAAAGGCGTGCACCACCACTGCCCAGCCAGTTTTTGTTTTAATTTTCTTAATTTACATTTCAAATGTTATCTCCTTTCCCTGTCCACCCCTGAACTCCCTATCCTATTCCTCCTTCCCTGCTTCTATAAGTGTGTTTGCCCACCCACCCACCCACCCACTCTGTGTCCCCACCATCGAATTCTCCTACACTGGAACATTGAGCCTTCACAGGACCAAGGGCCTCCCCTCTCATTCATGTCAGATAAGGCCATCCTCTGGTACATATGCAGCTGGAGCCATGGGTCCCTCTATGTGTACTCCTTGGTTGGTTGTTTAGTCCCTGGGAGCTCTTTCTATATAGCTCAAGCTGGCCTCAGATTCACAGCAATTCTACTTTATCCTAAAAAGCAAAACTTAAATTTTCAATCTTTTGAGATAGATGCTCACTATATAGGCCTGGATAGCTTGGAATTTGATATGCAGACTGGACCAATTCTTAGCTCACAGAGATCCACCTGCTTCTGTCTCCCAAGAACTTAGGTCAAAGGTGCATACCACCATGCCCAGCTCTTTTAGCTTTTAAAAGTGGTCACTAAGGAAAATAGAGGAGCAGTGGATTTGGAGGAGAGGGGAGGTGAGAAAGTTTGGAAGAAGGGGGTAGGCTGTGGTTGTGATGCATTGTATGAGACAATAATAAAGAAATATGAAAAATATATTTAAAACATGATTTCCTGTGGAATGGAGAATGTCTCATGATATTAGTGATGAATTTACCACCTCAAAAAACAAGATAGACACTTCTAAACTGCATAAATTAACAGAGTAATTTTTATGGTATTTGCTATATACAAAAACTCCTACAATATACACACTTACTAAACAGTCTATTGGTGTAATGGCATTGGGATTATACTAAAAATGTTTTATAGTAGTTGCTAGTAAAAAACTTGTTCATTTCCTTATGAAGAAATATATCTGTTAAAAGAATTTGTACTAAGAGCCCAGATAGGAAGGCTATTAACATCCATATATGAATATTTATGTCTCTCAAAAAATAATTCATAATTATTTGGTTTTGTACAATAGAAAGGTTACAAAACAGATTTCTGAAATGTCAGTGTAGAAACCTGGGCAAGGATGATGATGGTTAGGTACAAAACAATCTTTTGAGATTATTACATGCATTTCTGATAACCACATATAAACATGTGGGGTTTAAAGGGAAATAAGAACCACACTGAACATGGCTAGGTGGCAGGATGCCTCTCTGTGTGGTAGGGACGTGTTCATTTTCTCCTTTATTACATTCATAACCTTCACTTACAATGTGGATTCTAATATTTTAATATTTTTTATGTTCTCTTTCCCCAAACTCTAAGAACAATGTTGAATCACTATTCTCGAATTGAAAAAAACCTAAAGAACTAAGCTCCAGTACTCTTCCCTCTTTCATTTTTCTTTCTAAAATATACGATTCTCCTTCTCTAAATTCTGCAGTGTATCCTATACTTCCCCTCCTTCTAGTAATGATAGATGATATTCCATAAAGTGATCTATAAGTATGTAAAACTATGCTAGCTGTTGTATGGGTGGCCACTCTCATTAGGTCAACTTTCAGTTGCTTGTACATTGAAGTATATATATATATATATATATATATATATATGCATGCATGCTTGCAATCCTGTTTTCATCAACATTAAAATGCCAATTTTGTGATTTCCAAAATCAAAGAAGTGCTCACTTTAAGAAAATAAAAGCTACAATATCTTGAAAAATCAGACTAAATCCTGTGCAAAGTTGCTTCACAAAGAAAAAGATAATTGTCAATTAGGTAAGTATAGATGAGACTTCAGCCAAACATTAGGAAAGTAACTTTCAGAATTTAGAAGTTTGAGGTCAGAATGCTTCCTATATTTTCTGAGGCAATTTTTCTACACCAAATCTGGAAATCAAACAGCTTATGTTACTAGTGTATCTTACAGAGGACTCCAGTTAGTTGATATTAACCCAAAGAGTCTTCACACAACAAGAAAATATTTGTGACTATTTAAATTTTAAAAAAAGTTTAATCAATATTTTAAATGTGATCTCTATTTAACCATGTTTATGCATTAACTGCTCAACTACAGTGCTTAATTGAATCAGAAGAGGGAACATCTATTATAGTTTATTTTACTCATAATTTTCTATACTTGATGTTACTATTAGGCTTGACAGTAAGTCTATTTACTAGCTGAAACACCTCACCATCTTGACAAAAGCTTTTTAAGTCTTTTTATTTATTATTATTATTATTATTATTATTGAGTCAGGGTCTCTCATGGCTAACCTAGAAATAGCCATGTAGCCCAAGTTGGCCTGAAACACACAATTCCTCTTCCTTAGATAATCCTGCAAAGACTTGAGGTGCCAGGATGGGAGGATGCCCACCCCAACCTTCACAGAGCAGAAAGGAATGGGATGGGGAAGAACTCTGTGAGGTGGGGGCAGCATTTGGATGGAATGAAAGAGGGAGGAGGAGAGAAAGAGAGAGAGAGAGAGAGAGAGAGAGAGAGAGAGAGAGAGAGAGAGAGAGAGAGAGAGAGAAATAGAGGGTGTAGAATACGGAAATTTTGATTGGGAGAGGTCTGTTGATAAAGTGGCAGTTAAGGAGCTGCCTTCAGCTCCTGCTGCCTTGACCTGTCTGTGATGATGAACCATACCTTTGAACCTTGAGTCAGAAGAAACTTTTGTTTCATTTTGTCAGGATATTTTGTCACAGCAACAGGAAAAGGAACTAATTACTCTATGTAAAGTGTGAATACAAGCACTACATCATTTAAACAGATCTAACAGTGAGTTGAAAATGTCAAAAAGTACCTTTGGCCAATATGATATATTACTCCAT